CGGTTTAACAATGTGTGTAACTGAGTTAGATGTATTGTCACAATGGCATTTCGGTGGTGGTATCACAAACCAATTGAATTGTTATTGTGTTTTAACTTCTTCACAAAATTCTTCGTTATATGGAAGTTCTTTGCTTTGGTGCGGTATAAGAGTTACACAATGCTGATGTTAGAATTTTGTATACCCAATAAATTAATAATTTTGGTTAAATAAGATTTTTAGAACTTGAAGATTATGTGATTATTAATTTGCTAAATGTATAAAATAATGCATTATAAAAAATTCATATAGGTCTCATGTAATATATAAATTAATAATGGTTAAAGAAATCCACTATTGTAATTGTATTTTAGTGCTACCTGGATTATCTATGTTGTACTCGCACAATGCTATGCATTTCATCTGTCATTATTGATTTATTTACATCTTTGAGATGAGAAGCCATTGTTCAATTGTTGTATGTATGATTTGTTGTGTTACCATGACTTTTGTTTATTTAAATAGAGTTTTTGCGTGGTTAAATGTTCATAAAATAGAATAATGTAGTACATTGAACAATGTACAATCTATTTTTGAGAAAAATAAGTAGATTCATGAATTTTACTTGGTTACATAAAATTGTTAGTTCGTAAAACGAAAACTAAATAGAGTATACAATCTTTAAGAAAACAATGAATATCTTGGTAAATTAATAAGTTAAAAATTAATTTTAATAAATCATAAATAATTCATATTAGTAATTTATTCATTATAGATTATTAATAATTGCTAAATTAATATATTCTTCTTTGTCTCAAGAATACTAATTTATAAAGGAGGGTAAAATTAGGTAGACTAAATTTTAAAATTAAATTTGCAAAATAAATTATGGGTCACCAATAGGAAATAAGCACGTTAATCAATACTTAAGTAGTAATTCAATCATCAACAACCGCATCATTTAATTTACAAAATTTAGTTTAAAAATTTAATCTACCTAGCAACTAGCATGACCCATCAATAAAAATTAAGAGGAATTACAACTTACGAAGGCTTCTACCGTACAAAATGGACGAAAAAGTCCTCAATTTGATAGAACAATTGACATATCTAAACAACGAGTGAGACATTAACACGAGCTGAAAGTTTAGGGGGTTCATAACCAAATTGAATTAGAGAATAAAGTGAAACAAGGTCTATAATTTATAGGAGAGATTACAAAAATTTTCCCTGAATTCAAACTAAGAGACTAATTAAGGAAGTTCTCCATTCAAAGAGAAGAAGAGGAAGATAGAACAAACATAATGTGGGGAGGCATATGTGAGGATCAATTAATAGGTGAAAATCTTGAGCCACAACAATACTGATACAAATGGAAACCAAACCAACTTGGAAAATACGGATTTGAAACACTTTACATGAAACTGGCCGAAAAGCATGATGTATGGCATCCCTCATTTTGCTGGTAAGGGACATTACGTACTTGAAGTCACAGAAAGCTTTAAAGATTTTATTCGATCAACAACTAAATCTTCTCTCCATAATAACTAAATCTTCTCTCCATAATATATATATATATATATATATATATATGCAGCAAGGAAGAACAAGAAGCATTGTTACCCCATTGAGGCCATACCCTAGTCGTATTATCCTATTCTTAAAAGCTTGCATGCCCTCAACGACATTAGGGTTTCTCCTAAGCTATAAAGTTTGAACCTTGGTCAAACCAGAAAAAGGAATGCCATCCCACCCAAAATCTTGGTGATGGGGACCTCTTAAGATTATGGAGGTGTCTACAAGCTGCTCTACCAGACCCAAGAAAACTGAACCCCAAAATTATGAATAATGTAGAGTGAATATGTTTTGGGTGAATGTCTTTGTGAATGTGTGTCATCATGTGGCTCATTTCGTATCATGTTTATTTGCACCCACATTTTATCTATGTGCCTTGTTCAACTCATTTCATACCCATTTGGTGGTATTGTTTTGGCTTCTCTGAAATTGTTAACTTGCTATATAAAAGTGAGAGAGCGAGAGAGGAAATGAATGAAGTTGTATGTAGTCTAAGTGGTCAAAATATTTATCCTTACATTTGATGTAGTGTGTATATTAGCAAAGTATTCCTCTATACGCTAGCCATGTATATGGATATATACAAAGGGTATAGAATCAAATAATTTTCAAGTTTAGAAGACACTGCATTAGCTCCTCACACATAATTAAGAAGACATTCCTTCTTGCATAAAAAAATCATTGTCTAACATGTACGCAGAAGTAGCTTATTAAATATTAAAAATAAAATTTATGATGCATGATAAATTTTAATTTTTACACAAATATAAAAAGAAATGACTTCTTACATCTAATAAGAAACCAAGTATTTTCGAATTCTAGATGACCCTTTCCTTTTGCCTTCTTTTTTGCTTTAAATATTTTGGTATTAGTCACTATTTGGACATGCATGTTACTCAGCCAAATGGGGGTGTTGAGACACATTTTTCTAAGTTTTCGCATAAACTCAACGGTATTAGAACATATGATAATTTTACTTACATAGTTGTGTCCTAATTTGACCTATATGTAATTGACCTTTTAGGATGAAAGTGTCTTATATCAAAACTCTAAATGCTAAGCTTTTGGAGTTAGTTTCAGCTTTCAATGGCGATGGTTGTACTGATACTGGGTTACAATTAGAATTAAATTCAAGATTCGATTCTTTTCAATATAGCCTCAAACGCACTAACTGATAGATCCATATATATGAAGAGGCATACTGTAGGCTTTGTGAACTCACCTTTTTGAATAAGCGAAGGGGAATCGATGTTGGTCCAAACAACAAGAACGGTGACTTACTATATCAAAAGTTTACTTAAGTTGTAGCAACTAGGTGAAGTGAATAGTATCAAGTTTAACTTTTAGTGTAAAAATGTGGTTTTTCGTTAAAGTGAACAGTACCGTGGACTTTTCGTTAAAACTCCCTAGACAAAAGGAAAACTAATGAAAAGAGTTTGAAAACTTTAAGTTTTAATGATAAGGACAAAATAAAGGGTAAAGTGAATAGTATCAAGTTTGACTTTTTAGTGTAAAAATATGGTTTTTCGTTAAAATGAACAGTACCGTGGGTTTTTCGTTAAAACTCTCTTAGACAAAATATGAACAATGTAAAGCAATTGGATCCAACGCTTAAATATTGTTGCAAGTAATTGGATCCAGCGCTTAAACTTCATCGTGATTGGATATATTTTGAGGCCAAATCCAAATATAAACACATAATTTGCAACTTAGAGCATCTCCAGTAATCACCCAATTGCAAAAGCAATTGGATTGAACTGCCCTTGGCCCAATAATGTGAAAAAATTGGAGGCGACTGGGTGGGATGCAAGAGCCCTTGCGGTTGCCCTGCCAACTCTTGACGGGACTTGCGCCCGCATGAAGGCCAGCAGAGCAAACAGAACCCCTTCCCCCCTCCCTCCCCCACCCCCCAAAAAAAAAACACAAAAAAACAAAATAAAAATTTTGATTATGTGCCACATGGCGCTTTGAGGAGTTTCTGATTTCAAAAAATTGAAAAATTCAACGGCCATGATTAATCAACTCTAAAAAATAAAATAAAAATAACCAAAAAAAAGAACTTACAAAGTCCACACGTAAAAATCTTACATAATTTAACGTACTTACAAATTAAACATTTAAAAATAAACAAAAATCTATGACGATATGACATGTGGAGGATAACATGAAGAAAATATTAAACAAATAAAAATATATTAATAAATAGTAATCACCTTTGCTTTTTCTTCTTCTAAATATGTGAACTTGCACAAAAATAATTACCGTTTAAAATGAATAGTTAGAGCAATTTCATTGCGCTTGTCTTCTAATTACCCTGACCTTCCACTAACGGGGTGGAGATACGTATGCCAAAAACAAGAGAGAAGAATATTTTGGAATTTCCCAAGACCAAGATGGTTCAAACTTCAAAATTTATACTCCCCCCACTACCACTAGCTCCCACCTCTACTTTATAAAAACGGCTGCATATACAAACACATTCACACACACTTGCGAGAGATTTTTCAATGTGATCGTCACACAAGATGGTACATCACGTGTACTTATATAAAAGATAGGTTATGTGTGTTAAAAGGTTAATAACTTAAAAATTAAATTTTTTCACCATTTACATAAAAACATATGGTGTATCATTCGTATTCCCGTCACAACTAAAAATTTCTTCATCTTTTTTACCCTAACAGCGTGTCTTTCTATCTTAAATTTTTCTTTCATATCATTGGCAAATCTTTTCGACAAAACACACACATGTATACACAACAAATCCTTAACGTAAAGCACCGTAGTTTAGCCTCAAGTTCAGGGGGCCCACCTAAAATCTCTGTCGAGAAATTACGTCACACTTAGCAGGGAAGGCCATCAGATTGAAATCTCCATATCCACCATCATCTTCTTCGTGATCTTGTACCGATGAAGTTTTAATTAACTGGTAAGTGCATGAAAATGACTACATCATTAATACATTATTTAATTCAGTGAATGTGACGACAAACCATCTCAGTAAAGTCTGGACCGTCGGATCATGTTCTTGGTGACGATGAAAATTGAACAATATGAAGGCTGACAACTTACCTAATTGATAAGAACTTAAACAGAACCTATTCACTACCACCGATACAGTCCGGATCATTAATACAAGATTATGTATAAAAATTTCTTCACACGACTTGTGTATTAGTAGCTTAAGAGGCTGACAGTAAATTGGTTATTGAAAGTCTCTGTCCTAATAAACAGCTCTCTATATTTATGAATGAACCATGGGATTATTATTATACTTTACTGAATCCATGCATCTTGATTAGCAAATAATTATCATGGAATATTCTCGGGAAAGGGACAACTAAAAGTTAAACGTGAGCTAATAAATCAGTCGATTAAGTGCTTTGCATGACACGTACATAAAACCCAATAACTTTTAACCTAATTAAATAGTTGAAGCCAACAAAGCCTTAAAATAGGAGGAGTTAATCATATATATAAGGTAGCAGGCTAGTAGCCATACTGATTATAATTACAAGCTGATAATAGATTTAACCTATAAGATCAGAGCATAAACATGGGGATCTTAAATAGTCTCATTCTGATATTATAGCAGCTAGCTTGCTAGAACTCAGAATTAGAGACATGAGGAATATTATTACATTAATCAATATGATCTGAAGTAATCATGGGTCATGTGACCGTAGGAATTGAGGCTAAGCTCAAGGGAAGTGCGAGAGCCACCATCGTTGCCGCCATCGGAGCGGTACCAGCCGGAGTAGTAGCCATCCATGGAGGATGACTTGATGTTGCCAAAGCCATGGATGTCTTCACCGTGCATGGGGAAGAGTGGGAGAGTCTCAATCTCTTGGGAAGCTTGCAGATTGTAGTATTCTTCTTCCGTCATATTTTCCTGGTCACCAAACACTGGTTTTGATGAGGATTTCTTGTCAAAGATAGTGTAGGGCGAGGAATATGGATCAACACCAACCCATGATCCATAGTTGTGATTAAAAGTATTATAATTAGATCCACCCACATGACCAGTGCTAGTACTTCCTCCAGATGATATTGAGCACTCCTGCAGTTAACCGAATTTTTTTTTTTTTAAATGTACATTTTTCTTACTTGCAAACGATATAATCATCTAAACCATGGGAGAGAGAATCGAACTTGAGTGGAGAGGGGGAGAGCCCACTGCTCTAGCCAAATTGGCAAAGTTAGGTTTGCAATTATACATTTTCAACTGTTGTTTTCATTTTAGTACCACTCCTAGAGAGGAAGATTATATGTACTGTTTAAATCTGGTCCAACTAGTTTGGCTTAATTTGAGAAAGGCGGAAAATTTTTTTCTAGTTCTTAAAGGAAACAAAGGGCCAAATAGTTTCTTCCTTAATATAGAAAATTTTAAATCACTCTATGTAGGGTGTTTTTTTGTTTGTAGATTAATTGATGATTAAACTTGCACTAGCGTGCTCACATGGGGTGCAAGTCTTTTCATCTTTCTTACATTAAATCATTATTGTGTATGAATATAAGTATGTACATTTACATATATGAACTTACCCTAAAGCTCTTCTCCATGGCAATGGATCCATACCCATAGTTTCCCATCTGTGCCCCAACAGAAACATTCACACCAACTGAAGAAGAAGATGCAGAAGAAAACCCTACATATAAAGAAATCCAAATAGTAAAAACTTAAAAAAAAAATGTAGGAAATTTTTTTAAAATTAAATAGTGAAAAGGGCTGGTATCTAATTACCGGCTGGTGGAGCAGAAATGTTGGAATACTTGCCGTGGTGATTAATGGGTGCTTGTTCATAAGCAGCAGCAGCAGTTGCATTAATATCAATCCCAACCCCTGATGATCTTTGCCTGATATTATTGGATTCTGGTGGTACAGCTGGCACTGGTGGTGCTGCATGATGATGGTGATCAGGAGCAGAAGAAGAAGTGAATCTTTTCTTCTGCCTCTCACGAGCTTTGTGGTTCTGAAACCAATAGAAAACGTTCTTGCCTTCGATCTTGCCGAACTGTCGCAGCTTAGCAGAGATCCTCTGAATCTGCTCAGCGCTGGGTGACCTAATGCCATTGTTGTAGTAAAGGTCCTTCAAGATTTTTATCTGATCAGTTGTGGGTGTCCACCGCGTACTGCTTTGCCTGCACATGATTCCACCCCCCTGCCTGTTGCCTCCATCTTGTACTTCATTTGGGATCTGTTGAGGGTCCATTGAGAGATTCTTTTGATTACGAGCAAAATTTCTACCCTAAATTACACTAAGGGATAAGAGGAGTGTTTGAACTTGAGGAAGAGAGAAAGGAAATTACAAAGGGAAGCAAACAAAATGATGAGGAAGAGAGAATGAGAGAAAAGGGTGGGTGAGAGAGAGAGAGAGAGAGAGAGGAAGTGCATGAAATTGAATTTAATTTTGGGATTGGGGATCAAAGGGTTATAATTAAGAGGGGGAAGGGGGAGGTGAGGAGAGGTACATGGAGAGACGAAGAGAGGAAATCAGAGAAATATCTGAGAGAGAAAGACTGAAGTTGACAGAGGGAGAGAGGAGAGAGGAGAGAGGGGTTCATAAAAAGGGAAGGGACAAAAGAGGGATTAGAAAGGGTAGGCGTCAGTGGCATAAGAATTACTTGGTTGAAAAGGCATGACCAAGAGGTATATATGAAAATTATTATTTTTGAGGCACTTTGAGAGAGAGAGAGACAGAATAATATAAAATGATATGATGAAGAAGTGATATAATGGATTAGAAAGAAAGAAAGAAGAGAGAGTTCTGAATGAATGAATGAATGGCCATAAAAATGGAATGGGGGATTTAGTGGTTTAAAAAAAAAAAAGGATTTCCTCCTAAACTTGAAAGGAGCTGCTAAATTCCATATTGAATTTTATAATTAATTAAATTTCTTCTGAACTTGAACTTTAGTTAGTTACAATCCTAAATTTTTATAATTGGTCAATTTTCTCCTTACTTCATATTTTGGAATTTTTCATCCATCTTGGTCAAGTGCATGACACCTTGCAATTGTTTGAGGACAAAAAAGTAATTTTATTTTTAATGCAGGCAACACATTTTTTCTTCTTCTCTTCCACTAGTTCACTCCGTACACTTTTTGTTTGAATTTATCGCCAATGTGGACAACTATGAATCTAATCCATGGTCTTGTTTTTCAGCAACATGTTAGGTTTGTGATACCATTTCATTAGCCTTCACCTTGAGACTTGATTCACATGACCTTCTCGGTTCACCTATTTCAATTCAAAATTAAGAGAAGAAAAGTAACTACTCATTTTAACAAATTTATTATTAGAAACTGGTCAATCATAAACGTCGGGGGAAGTAAATTGGCCAATTATAAAAATTTAGACGGTAAATTGGTCAATTATAAAAGATCAAGAGATAATCGATTAAAATTAAAATTTAAAAAAAATTGATCAATTATAAAAATTCAGAAAAGTAACTGAATAAAATTATAATTTAAAGAAAAGTTAACAACTTTTTGCAAGTTCGGTAGGAAATCTGCGAATACCTCTTCTTTTGGGACAAGGATTGTCTACCCTTCCTTTTTCCATGCCCTTCCATGCCCTCCTATTTGTGTGGTCACGGTTAAGTCACGTCAATATTTTATATTACTATTCATTTTTGTCTTATTATCTTTATAAAAAAATAATATAAAATGTTGACGTGGCTTAACCGTGATCACACAAACAGAAGGAAAAAAAGGGGAGATCAAAATGGTCCTTTATTTTATTTTATTTTATTATCATTAGGCCAAGAGAGCTAGATAGCCCCAGAACCACAAAGATACTCCTGTACTTAGCTAGGGTTGTCATGGGCAAAACTGTAAATTGAACTTGATGAAGTACTTCTCTCTGTGCCTTACTAGGTTCCAAACTGTACTTCGAGGCTTTTCGCCATTAGGGTTTCTATTTTTTGGTTCTTTTACCCCACTTTAAAGCTCTCATATCTTCTCTAGGAAATTCAACCTACAGTAATACAGTAGTTCCTAGAGAATAACTGGAGAAGTAGCAAGGCCATTACAACATGGTAATCAATGCAATTTACTCACAGCTCCTAGCCTCTTATTTTTCATCTTCATCTGTGCAATCTAATCTGATTCTTGACAGAAATATATATATATATGTAGAAAAAATACGTTTTTGAAGTATATAGTTAGGGGTGTGATATCCACACACCCCTTTTTACTTCTCTCACACCTTTTTAGTTTTCGGTCATCGGATCGGATAAATTGAAGAAGATCAACGGACATAAATTAACAAGGAGTGTGTGAGAAGTAAAAAGGGGTGTGTGGATAGCACACCCCTATAGTTATCCCTGCCATTTAGTAATACGATCTAGTGGTATTCTTCTTCATTTGTAAGTGATAGGTCTTAGATTCGATTCTCGTCAAAGACGAATTCGAACTACATTATTACTAGCCCATTGTAAGACTAAGCTCACATGATTTCTTTTAGCGTAGATAATATCGTTTGTTCAAAAAAAAAAAAAACGTATATAGTTATCCCCAATTGGTTTACCCTAATTTCATATTGTTCATTATTGTTAAGGTAACATGCATGTACTGTAAGTTATAAACTAATGTTGTTTCCCATTATGAAAGATAAAGATCAAATACATGATCACTATGCTATTGGTGAAAGAGTTGCTACGGGTCATTTGTTAACAAACCGTTGAGCAACAGGTTTTTTGACAAGCAAGGGTAGAGTGATTTTATTGACAAAAAACAATATATACAAGAGGGTACATATTCTTCACTGACCAATTTCTTTGATCTTAAGAGAAAATTGTACTAAGACATCAGATAAACTACTACAAGGCTACTATAAACACAAAAAGCAAATAGTATAAATCTACTACAAAGACGGTAGAATGCTCAACTGAAACCTGAGCTCGTAAACGTTAACGGGTGAACCATTGACGGTCTTGATTTAAAAACCCTTTTTAATCTATGTTTTTGACTTATACTCTTAAGAACAAAACAAACTAATCACCTTTCAACCACCAAAGCATTCTTTGATTCTCTCTTCAATTTATCTTAATTAGTTGCGTGGAGCGTGAAAAAGGAAGAGGGAGCCTGAATCATCACCTAGATTTAAAATTAGCTGCCTATGAAATTACTTTTGGAAATTTTCACAACAACCAGATGTATTATAATGCGTGTATGAAAATATATACCATCCAAACTAAAAATTTTGTAAATTTACCACATACTATATTTAGTGTGGATGTACCACCTAAATCAATCTTTGCTAGAAATTTGATCAAAATTTATTTTGTTTCGGTATATGAGCACTTTTTCATGAGACATTATTTCTTCGCTTATACTTTCGGTGACGAAACAAGGTATAGGCGCCAGCATAATCAGGTTTCTTGTAGTGCATGTTAGTGGAAAATTGCGTGTGTGACTAAGTTCAAATCTCATGAATCACAATGAAATATAACAAACTTAGTAATGCTTTAGAGAACACAAGTCAAAAATTAAAAAACTTCATAGTTCTAACAGATTCATTTGTTGAACAAAACTAACCAACTAGAATTTAATCATCACTTGCAAAAAAACGTTACTGTTAGCTGGAGATGTTTTTGGACACTGCCATTCGTAAACATACCTTAAACATGAAAGAAATCTTATTAATTAAAAGAGTGTTGCACAAGCACAAGTGCAGGTAGCGATGATCCTATTTCTGTACAGAGAGAGAAAGGGAGGGAGAGATGGGAGAGATGGGAGAGATGAGGGAGGATAGAGCAAATATCAAGGAGTAAAGTGCAAAGAAAGAATCCATGGTGTCATCCTATGTCTGTAGCAGTCCTTTATGCGACGGAGCACGCGCTTCAAAATAAATGCCAAAGCATTAAATATGGTGTGTGTCATGGTTTCTGGAGTTCTCATGCATGCATGTCTCTAGGTTCATCATCAAATCATTCTTTGCCACTGCCACTTTGTTTGTACCATCATCTCTATATAATTCTCACACACGCAATCTACTGCACTATACAGATGAACCCTAAACTCCAACTGGGGTTTATATCCTTTTCCTAATATATAATTCATCAATATTCCTCTTTAAGTACATGCGTCTGTGCTTTGAAGACAAGAGACTAACCCTAATGCCCTCAACCTCAATTGGGTTTTATGTGAATTACTTTCTTAATTCATTAATATTACTCTTTTTTTTTTCCGGTTACAAAGAGTTTCAAATCTTGAATCTTTAACCTACTTCTAGTTATTGTACCCTATCCATTCTCACCATTGCACTAACCCAATGACTTTCATTCACGATATTCCTCTTTAATCATACATATTTTTTCAAATAAGAGACTAAATCACGTATGTCTAAGCAAGCAAGAACTTGTACATGTTTATATAGTTACCAGAGATTATTGAACCCCAAATCTATATATTGCTATATGTGGAACTTGTATTGATATTAGTATGACTATGAGAGAGCCTTCAAAACCAATACATTAGGAGGCAGTTGCATCTCTTTTTTTTTTTTTGGTCATTGGAGACCTACTTTAAATTGAGAGTTAACGGAAGACTTGGTACAAAATCGAACGCAGTGACGTTCTAGAATTCAACCAATCCCACTTAGTGAGATAAGACTTAGTTGTTGTTATTGTATACTAAATGTTAAAAGAAAGTTTCAGTACGTTACAAACCAACAAGAAGAAATTTACATCTTTCCTTTTCTCACTAAACTTTTGGTCAAATGGACAAATAGAAGCATTGTTTAAACACTAAACTTGTACGTGTTATATAGTTACGTTGACAAAGATCGAACCCTTACTCTATCACATTGCTAGAACTTGCATTGAAGTTAGTATTGCACCTTCATTGTTTTCCTTGGCGAACTAGTTTAAACTTGTTATTGTTCTATACTCATGTTATTAAAAAAAGTTCAATACTTTACAATATTACAAACCAACAAGAATCAATTTTACATCTTTTACTCATGTTATTAAAAAAATTCAACATACAAAATTACAAACCAACAAGAATCAATTTTACATCTTTTACTCATTTTATTAAAAAAGTTCAATATACAAAATTACAAACCAACAAGAATCAATTTTACATCTTTTATTTTTTTACACACAACTTTTGGACAAAAGGAAGCATTCTTTCGTGAATTCAACCAGTCTCATTCCCTTTCTCAATAATCCTGACTACTGTTGTACATGCCCATCTCTCTTTCTCCTCTGTCTCTCTCTCATTTCAACTTTTACAGATTGCATAATATGTTTGATATTGACAGTGCTATCATCATGAGATTTCCTTTCCCTTTCATGCATTTACATGGAGGGTTTGGGACTCTGAGCCTCTTTCTCTCTCTCTCTCTAGCCAATTAGCCAAAGCCAATAGGAGGAGGAGTGTTGAGAGATGTGGGTTTTTGTTCCTTTGTCTAAATGGATAATGTAAGTGAGATTAAATTTGTTGACTAAATTTTATAAACTAAATGACATGGTAGTTTATGATTAAATTATTACTTAAGTATTGATTAACGTACTTATTTCATATTAATGACACATC